GAATACTACTTATTAGGGGTTATCAGAGACCTAGAACCGTACCAAAATGATAGAACGAAAGAGAGAGGAATCGGTTGACTCATACAGGCTTGTCATAAATATATTATATATATTAAATTTTGTATAATATCGTTCATAACCGTCACCGTAACCACCGCATAAAGGCAAAACACTAAGAGATCAAAAGAAACTCAGAATTCAGTACTCAAGAAAACAACAATACGATCTTCCTCTGACCTCTGATGTAGAAGGTTTAATAGTTGTTTTATTTCTATTGCCATTTAAGAAGATACCCCAATTGTTATTCCTTGAAGACTCGTGACAAAAACAATTGCATTTTCAGTTGTTTTAGAGCTTTGAAATGTTATAACAGTAATTAAAACCTTCCATAACCTGTAATCCTCTTTCGAGATCAAACACGGAACCCAGAAAACATCCGGTCTACTACTTATGTTTGATGAGGATTGAAATTTGCAATTGAGCCTTGGATCTTCGTGTCAAAGATAAATTTTGAGCTACCTGTTGTCAGACCGTTCAAGGTCGCTTTAACGAAAGGGCGGGGGGTTTCGAAAGGATCTAACCTTTTTACCGTGCTCGTCAATGTCGGTCAAAATTAAGAAATCAGTCGCTAGGTTTCTAAGCCATCAAGTTGCTCATAGAATTAAACTCTTAGAATCAGCCCTGCTTGAAATCCATGATCTTGATAACCGCATGAAGATGGAACTATTGGCTTTGAACACCCTTGCGAATCCAAACGATGACGAATTTTGTGAAGAGGATTGTATGACATATATGTCTGCAGAAGACGTAAGTTATATTGTCCGGGTAACCTTCGTCACTGTTTCAAGGAGAACCACCAGGACATAGTTTTTATTAGCTAGCTTACCAGGGAAACATAAACGTTTTGCAGGGAATCTATCCAGTCATATAATAATTTGATCGTACTGCTAAAAATTTAAAAAGATTTTCAGGGGACAACTCGAAGTGGTGTTTTTATGCTGTGTCATAATCTCCTGTTCGAAGTCTGCACATCGTCATTTCATCGACCAAATCTGAGTATTCAACTTTCGACCGTCTGAAACTACCTTCCACTTCAGCTCTGACATCCCGGTAGTGACATTAAATTTTATGCAACCAAAATATAACCCATAGTATAGTGTATATGTCTGTACTTGGAAATTAAGCCACATCGTTTTGTCCTGAGTTCTTTGATCTACAGGCTACTCTTATTCGGTTGTCCACCTATCACATTTGAGTTATATGATATTTCGATGGTTAAAATATTAGTGCTGACAAAATTAGAAGTATTTGTCTTGTTCACGTCAGTTATGCTAATGGTATTCTCAATTGTTCCATGTCATGATAAGTAGGTTCTGTTATAGAAATAGTTAAATATCTACCTATTTACAAGCATATTCAGGTTGATCTAAAAATCCATGTTACACATAATTGACAGAGATATAAAGTTAGACTGTTTGAATAAATGTTTATGCATTCCTTCGAAAAGGCAATTGTCTCAAGATTTATAGTAATGCAGGGCAAAAGTCGGCACCCAGTTATTCCTAGTTGCTAGTGGGAATGGAACATGTGCAGTGTCGAAAGGCTATTCTGGTGAAATTGTGTAGTAACTATAATCTACAGCTAGTTAGTTAGAAGTGAAGACAAAGCATAAAGCAAGGACAAAGTTAACGTGATGGGTCGGGTTATACCAGTGTTAGCTTGTTTTATTACCTAATCTAAATATATAGTCACCCAAGAGTAATGTACATTTAAAATATCTGCGAAGTCTAGTAATATAAAGTTTATGTTCGTATTTTTTTTCACGAGTTGAACGGATTATAGCCACAAGTGTATGATGTTTTAGAGTAGAGGTAACTATCGAAATAACCAACAAGTTATGATAATGATCTTGTTCCATGAACAAATTTTGGCAGATGATCCTAGTCCGGGAAATTTACTTGCAAGTAATTAATATAGAGTAAAAATTCAGAATGCGACATCTTCGCTTCTGAAAAATACGACTATATGTTCCTGGGTTTTGGATTGAAGCAGTGGATGTAAAAGATGGTTCGTCTCATCCAGTTTCAACGTGTTGATTGAGAGTATTCAGATGACAATTCTACTTGGCGAAGACAATGACAAAAACAATCTGCTGAATTCTTCGAATAGTAACGCAGGAATATTCGTCTCCGTACCTCGAAATTCTGGGCTGGTCTGGATGGGTTCATGTCTAACTTAACCTTGTGCAGTGAAATCGTTTGAGACATTAGTTTCTTCAATTATTTTAGATGCCTTAAGTACCGTGGTAGGCTGGTTGCTATCTTGGCACAGATATACTAATATCTTTTGGCTACTGTAGAGCGTGTTGGCTTTCTAATTAGAATGAAAGTATACTGTGTGTTAGTTCATTTTACATTACTTCACTGCTGTAAAAGGCGGTTTATGAGAGTAGAGGACTTTCACAAGTCACAAGTATATAATTATAGATGCCTGCAAATTATCCCTGGCATTCAACGGAAGCACAAAAGTGGTGTTCTCTTCGCTTTTGGTCACTGGCTAGTACCACTGTCCCTCACACTTTAATGTGACTCATACCCAATTACCTACTGAAGGAGCTAGTACGGTTTTTATCATTTATTTTAGGTGAAGACAGTAGGTACATGTGACAAGACCATGTGCGGTCAGCGCCTTCTCCGTTTTAGTCTGATAACACTCACGAAAGTAGCATTTAAGGTTTTTTAACAATCTGGATTTGACTTTCATCACTAACTGACAGTTGTAAACCAGGAAACGGTGGACATCTGTCTCCTACCCTAAAACTCGGGATTGACTACTTTCAATCCTACATCCTGTACTTTTCGACATTGTGTTCACCTCCAAACACAAAGGTTTTGTTTGATCTTGGTGCAGTATGCTAAAAAGTTTGGGACCAAGAAATAATTTTCCAGTACTATTTGGTATTCAGTGCTTTTCCGTTGATGTCAAGCCATGGTTAACTATCTTTTACTGTTTTTGATATTAAAAAATATTTTGGTGCTGTATATATGTGGTTTTTAACTTGTCACCTATTTATTTTTTGGTAGGAATTATTAAAAAGCCATGAGAATTTTGAGGATTCCAACTGTGATGTTAAATATGAGTTGGTGGATTTGAACGATGATGTTACGGCTTATGAAGCGTCAGTTAATAAAGTCGACGAACAAATTCAATCAATTGATGTCCACCAATCACACTCTTGTTTTACTAAGGGTCGAAATATATCTACACTGAAAACATTCGATTTTCTTACTGGTCTTATTAATGATCGATCGTTAGAGCTGACTTCCTGTTTACCTGTTGATATAGATCATTGTTCAGAGTAGTTATTTTCTATTCATGCATTCTTGTACAAAAGATTCGATTCTAACTTTAAAACATTTGTAAATATATATGTACCCAGTTATTCAATACACATTCATTTATACTTACTGTTATGATTTCTGAAAGATTAATGTGTTGATAAAACCGTATGATTCGCAAAACTGCAAGTCGTTTGCTGAAGCCATTTTCTTGGTTATAAAGTATAAAACACTTATGTCACTAGTAAAGTTTGTGAGTGGAGAGTTGAGATGTTTTGTTGAGTACCTAGTTTGTCGAATGCTCGGATGGTATTCTCGTGATTGTCGGGTTACCTGACCTGCCAGGGGGGGATGAGACAATCCATTGTTGTGTACCAGAATCAGTGAAAGCCGTATGCTATATTTGTACTCCCTCCTGTTATTGTCACACCTAGCCGTAGCTGCTACCTTGACGCGGTGGTTGGCTTTGATCATTGAGTTGACTCAGTCTCTATACACGGACTGGAACACTTGTTCCTGGAGGTCTTACACGATATTTCGGTTGAAGGTGAATGAGACTAGATGTAACAACTTGATGCTCATTTTCAAAATTGTTTTTTAACTTTTGTTCCGTGAAGTCACTTTTTTCTGTGAATCATATTCTCTACCCCTAAATCTCTTTTGCTATTAATGGTACGGATACTGCAGTGTTCATTATAAATTTGTTTAACTGTGCTAATAGTGTAAAAACCTATGTCGATGCACGTTTTCACTAGTTTCTACGTTGCTTTTTATTGACTGAATACTTTACAGATCAGTTCATTTGTAGTACATCTGTATTATAGTTGTCCATAATCCATACACAGTATGGATAAGATACTGACCTCATCCCTCATAACTTCATTGAAACTAAGAATACTGTTACGTGTTGAATGAGTTGAAACAATAATGTCTGAGGTCCATAAGCTTTTCGGTAGGTCGTCAGGAAAAATTAGTAGTTAAATCGTGGTGTTTTTTCTCTTGAACTACCACTATTGAGTCCAAATGGATTTAGCATTCCATGAAACGCCTTGACTGTTTGCCTCTCTTTATAGTTGGGAAAGCCTTTCCGAATTATTTCCATATTTTTAACAGCGATTTGGTGATTATTAAAAACAGCATGTACTTCTGTTGCCGATTCAATTTGTAGATTTGTCAACCCTACGAGATTATCAGGAAATCTTTTTGTCTAGCTTAAGTGCCACGAGTCGAGATTTCACGAGATTCTTACATTGGTTGAAAATAGTGATGAGTCTGAGATAAGTGAACTTCTAAAAGAATTAAAGCCTTCTATTGGCGTTTACTTATTGTTTACCTTATATCCCAAATTCGAAACCACATTACGTTCCTACAGGGTGCCGAAATTTCACAAACTAGGTACCTATTGGGTGAAGACCGGCCGAATAAGCAATATGAAGTTGGGGTGGAGCAGGGTGAAGGTGGCGATGTTGAGGGAAAAAGAATAGGTCAATCAGATTATGAATTATCAACTATCTGAGCTGCGTATAACGATTATTAGTATTGTGCTTTGTAATGAAGACTTCCCAGTTGTTGTCTTTGTATAAATGGGAATCAACGGTAGAAATACCGACTTTTTGGTGACGTTCACAGTAGTTCGAGATATTTTTAATTATTTTGCTTTAGATGGATCTTCAAAAATATTTGACTTCACCATCGGTTCGGGTAAATTACGCACTTATGTAGTTAACCGTATTGGATTATGTAAGTAATATTGTTAGCAAAAGCTATTTATCGGAAACTTATCTACTGTTAATTGTTATTGACTGACTGGTTAAATCAATCAACTTTCACTTATTAAGATGTGAGGTTCAGCGCTGTCCATCTGTTTCTGTTCAAGTAGTCAAATAATATCGATAGCTTTCACATCAAATGTTTTAATCAAAGTCGAATACATGAGCCTGTATGTGGTTACTGAACTGTATTAGATTAAATTACTTATGTGATGAAACAAGTCCGTTTTTTTTGTCTACAAATGTGTTCACACATAATAATGTGATCACCTACTGTACTTACGCCTGTTACTCCCAATGGAACATAGGCCGCCGACTAGCATTCTCCAACCCACTCTGTCCTGAGCCTTCCTTTCTAGTTCTATCCAAAAAAATTTCATTCTTCTCATGTCTGTCTGTACTTACATATATTTCACTTTAATTTTAGTATTCATCCCAGTCTTCATTATTATCATTGTCACCTGAACAACAATTGAGAATATCAAAAGAATTTCCATTAGATAATGAATTAAAACATCGTCATTATGATTCAATTAATGATGATGGTGACTTCTATCAGAATTCAGATTCGAACAGTAGTTCCTTGATATTTGATTCAGATATATTAAAAAATTCTTCAAATAATAATAGTATAACACAAATTGAATGTATGAGACATTATTCAGATCATAATAATGGTTCATCATCTGTTACACGTTTTATGGAACATGTATATATACGTGAAGAAGATAATGATAGTGATGATGATAGTATAAATTCAGACTATGTTAACAATAAAATTTCAACGAAAAAATGTACATATATTGGACTATTATCAATTATTATTTGTATTACATCAATTCCATTTGTATTTTACATATATCCAAGTAAGTTATAATTTTCTTTATAAGAGTTCATTTGACTCGTTTGTTTAAAACTTATTTATTTATTTAAACATATAAACATTGACACAAGGAAGGAACCAAACAGATATGCGCTACATAAATCATCCGATTTATGTCAGGGATAGGATACTGCTCGGGTGCCCGGACTGAAGCAGGTGGTTTTATTAGAGGGTCACATCCGGAGCCTTCGATCTAAAGGTCTGATCCACAGGACAGTGAAGCAACGTCAGGAGATGAAATCCCATGGTAGCCGGTGACCAACAATTGGTCCATGCGCCATTTGTTCCTTCAGGATACTGGAGCCCATGTGCACCATTGGCTTGGAGTCAGGGTTTTTCAACTCCCCTAGGTGGATTCTCCATATCCACCAACACGGTTAAATCGCCGGACATTCGCTTTTCATCCCCTCAATTTCGTAAACAACAGTAGTGCCTTGAGAAGGCAGTAAGTAGGATTTATGTGGCAGTAGTTGTATGCACGTGGCTATGTGAGAGCATTTGGAAAGGGAGAGTTGACTCTTCCCACTCTCGGAAACTTAGCTAAATATGCTTTACATGCATTTAAATCATCAAGTTGTATTAAAAATGACATAGATTTCCTTTTTCACATATTCATTTTATTTGATTTAGCTATTATCCTACAGCTTTTTCAATGAATTTATTTCATAGTTTCTCTTAAAACACATACCCCCCAAATGTCTTGGTACAGTCGAGGGTGGGGAGAGTTCGCTCTCCTCGAAATGATCTCACATGACCACGCGTATATAGCCACATCCAACGAAGTCTTACTACCTGATCCCTGATTCGAAACCAATGGTGCACATGGGCTCCAGTATCCTGAAGGAACAAATGGCGCATGGACCAATTGTTGGTCACCGGCTACCATGGGAGTGCATCATCTAACGTTGCTCCACTGCCTTGTGGATCAGACCTTTAGGTCGAATGATTTATGTAGCGCATATCTGTTTGGTTCCTTCCTTGTGTCAATGTTTATATGTTTAAATAAATAACGGCAATATAAATATGAAAGAATTCTAAAATGATTTAGGTGTTAGTTAAATATAAAAAACTCTAGGAAAAAAGTAATAAAAACTAATAGGAATAAGTTACAAATTGTAAAAATGAATTCACTTGTTGTTTACTTGTATCTTCCCATTGTTGTTTAGGACTACAATTAATCAGTCCCTTGTTGGCATCCTGTACAGATTGTTTCGATATTGCCTGAAGTCACAAGCTTTATAAGCAATAATCGGAAGATACAAGCAAACAACAGCGTGTATTTAGATTTAACCACATCGCACAAGCAAATGGCTATCAGGACTCAGTAGCTAAGTGGATAACGCGATAGCGTTTGAAGCGAACAGTGTTGGGTTCGGGTCCCGGAGTGAACATCAACTCTGAAATGCAGGTACATCCAGCTGACGAGTCCAATGCTAGCCACCATCCGTCTTCGCCAATAAAAATGAATGTTGAGAATCATTTAATAACGACGATAAAAACGGACGGATCAACCGAAGATAATAAGTAAAGCTCTAAAAGCGATATAGGAATGAAGAGAAGGAATTTATAACTGACAGAGTGAAATAATAATCTAAACAATTAAATAATGAGAACTGGATTCACCGAAGCTGCGCGAGGTTTAGATTAGGAATTTAGAGTTCAGTCAGTAACAACGTAGAACTTCGTATGTACAAACATCAGTTCGAGTTTTCATAACACGTTAGCACAAAGATACGATTGTCGGTCCGAATCCCGTAGTGGTAGTGGTAGTGAGAGTATAAGCAGTAATCGGAAGATAATGGTTCACAGGTCAAAATAAAGTTTATAATAAGAGGAATATGAATATGAATAGTTTAGTTATTTAACAATTATACGATAAAAATGTACGTATAGTATTGGTCTATAAAAGGATCCCAAAGTTACCGCTCATTATGTTTATCGAGACGTAACCATAAATGAATACATTACACTCAAAATCTTAGGAGGCATTATCTGAAATCTGATTGTTTCGTTTATAAAGCATGGTACCACCATATAAAGGTTTCTTTCAGGGTTAGAATTTAGAGACTTACCTGTTATATACAGTCTATATAGAATTAATTGAACATCTAACATGTTTTACCATTTTAAACGTCCTGAGCATTAAGAAGAGCCATTTTTACTGTTTGTCACATATGATATGATAAGAGTCATTCATGTTACAATTCTACGCAAAAACCCAACAGTGATTTTCTCTTTCATGATTATTGGCTCCTTTTTAAACTATACTTTTTCCAACATTTAATAATACTTTAATAGTTACGATCATGAGTCAATTGAAGCTAGACCATCATGAAAAACCTGGAAGTACTAGACTGTTTCTTCCTATTATAGGACTCCTCAGTAGTTCGCATCCAGTGGAGTTAATCCGTGTCAGGTAGAGACAGGTATCTACCTCAGACAATAGAAGATGGTCGCACAATCCCGCCTCGCGAGATGCAAACCCAAGACCTATTGAATCACGATCTCAACTATTAAATTATTATAATATCCACAAAAACCCCTTTCTGATATTTGATAATACATTAATTTAGTTCTTTTTGTTTATATTAACTCTGAATCCTATTAAACTGATATTCTTGTTTGTTTTTATTTATATTTATGTTTGTTGTTATTTATGATTATCATTTATTTATATATTATTATTTATATTTATTTGTATCTAAGCAACAATGCAAGCATGTTCGAGATGCGATCCTCCCCCTCGAAATGAGAAATGTTGCTTCAGGATTGGGTTGCATCGACACCCGAACTAATGATAGGGAGTGAAGTAGTTGAGCGTATCGATCGCTTCACTTATCCTGGAAGTCTCATCAGCCCTTGTGGTCTGGTGTGTGACGAAATCTCAGCACCGATACAGAAAGCTCGACTAGCTTTTGCCAACTTGCGTCATTTATAGCTTAGGCGAGATATCCGTCTATCAACCAAAGGACGTGTTTACTGCGCAGCAGTTCGTTCCGTCCTACTATATGGTTGTGAAACATGGCCATTAAGAGTAGAGGATATTCGTAGGTTACTGGTATTTGATCATAGGTCTCTTCGAAGTATTGCTCGTATATCGTGGGACAATTGAGTAAGTAACGCAGTTGTTAGGAAATGGGTACTAGGTAAGTATGGCAAATCAATAGATGAAGTGGTGAAACTTGATCAGCTGAGATGCCTAGGACATGTGTTACGTACGCCCAACCACCGACTGCCTCGACGTGCGATGTTCTATGGTGTAGAAGTAGATTGGAAGAAAGCTAGAAGCGGCAAGACCAAAACATGGAACAAGTCCATGAAGTCACTGACAAGTGGACTGAGCCATGTTGGTAGGTGTAGACTATCTGGTTGGGATCCTCCAGACGATAACAACCGATGGTTAGAGACCTTGAGTGGCATGGATCAAAATCGTTTGCAATAGCGCAGGTACATCCACTTTTTGTGTTCTCCCAAATTCTAATCTTCTGAATTCTTCATGTCCCTTTCTTTTTTTCTATTTCAAAATTTATTTCACTGGATTATACTCCTTTAATAACATCTTCGAACCCTAATCTTCCGATTACTGCTTATACTCTTACTACCACTACCACTACAGGATTTGAATTGACAACTGCATCTCTGTGCTAACGTGTTATGACAACTCGAACTGATATACGTACGTATGAAATTCTACGTTGTTGACTGACTGATATTTAATACAACATTAGTTTTTTCTCAAGAGTGATTTAACATTCATGAATATTCAATCGTTTTTTATAAATAAATAAAAATCTTCATTTTAGTGTCCATTTCACTTACATTACCATCATCTCCTTCTGTTCATGAACAATCTTTATCATCTGTACAGAAAGTCAGAACACAAAATCTAACCAATCAGTTATCCCAAGAATTTCAAGGTCAACATAAACGACTTTGGGCTCAAATTCGTTCTGCTTTAGAATCACCATTTCAACATGAGTAAGCAAATCTTAGGAAATATATGGGTCGTTTTAGATTATTAATGATTAGCTTCCTAAGATTTCTGTAATTTTATTCCCTTTGAATTCAATATTTTTGAAAATCTTCAGCTCTACATAAATACCTTTTTATCAGTGTGGGGTTGTGGAGATTGTTACGTTTTTGATTGAGATCATCAGTCGATCAACGTTAAACCATTAATGAAAACCTGAAAGTACTTGGCAGCCGTTTTGTCGTATCATAAGACTCCTCAGTAGTGCGCATCCAATGAAGTTAATCCGTGTCAGGTAGAGACAGGTATACACCTCAGACAACGGAAGATGGTCGCACAATTTCGTGGATTGGTTGAAGTCAGATATTAACACCATTGAATCCCGACTCACTAGTCTAGTGGTTAAGTGTTCGCGCGCATATTGGTACAAAGGGGCACCGAATACATATGCACCACATAAATCACTTGATTTGTCTTTGGGCTGTGATGCTGTATGGATGCCCAGACCTAAGCAGGTGGTTTTCTTAGGCGGACACACCCGGAGCCTCCGACTTAAAGGTCTAGTCCACAAGACAGTGGAGGAACGTTAGGAGGTGCAGTCCAATGGTAATCGGTGACCAACGATTGGTTTATACATACACCATCTGTTCGGTCAGAATCTAGGAGCGTATGTGCACCGCTGGTTTAGAATCAGGGTTTTCCAACTCCCTTATATAGATAGTCCATACCAACCAACCCGATTAAAGCGCCGAATATTCGCTTTTCTTGCTCTCAATTGCGTAAACAACAGTAATGCCGCGAGAAGATGGTGAGTAGAACTTCTCTGGCATTGGGTGTATGCACGTGGCTATGTGAGAGCATTTGGAGAGGGAGAACGAGTTCTTCCCATTCTCGACCATACCAGGGCATCTGGGAGAGAATTGTTTACCTACTTTACAACACCTTTAAAATAATGCTTGAAACTTGTACATGTTCAACTAAATTTGGCAAGCAAGTTTACTGTTTATTAATTGTAGATATACAAATCATCAAAGGCAAACTACTAATGAAAGGATTTCTCCTGTAGTACTTCTCATTGTCAATCGTTGTATACATCCAATGGTCAATGATCAATCTAAACAACATCATTCTACATTTAATCACAATGAAAATGGATCATTTCATTGTTTTATTACACGTCTTGGTCAATTAGTTAATCATTTATATTTGTCAAATTCTAAAAATTCATGTTCAATTATAAAAGCTCACCAATTGGACTCTTTAAATAAACAAAAGGTTAGTAATAATTATTATATTGATCAGTTATATTTATTCATATTATGGGACTCTTCAACAGTGCGCATCCAGTAGAGTTAATCCGTGTCAGGTAGAAACAGATATCTACCTCAGACAATGGAAGATGGTTGCGTAATTTCGTAGACTGGTTGACGTTAGACATTAACACCGTGTTGTTAGCCGGTTTAAGGAAATATTGGATTTATATTTATTCTCCCATTGGATAAACCTCATGGCTGATGTTTGAAAAAACAGAGCCAATTATTTGTATCAATGTTGAGATTTATTCAATCAGTAGCTATCATTGAATGTTATAATTAAGATGGATCAAAATCTATTCACTTTTCAACATGTTATATGTTGTAATTGTTGAGAAGTCTGGAAGCCTGATTAGCCCTAATGGGTTGGTGTCTGACGAAATCTCTACACCGATTCAGAAAGTTCGTTTGGCTTTTGCCAACTTGCATCACTTATGGCGAAGACGGGGTATCCGCCTATCAATTAAGCGACTAGTATACTGTGCAGCAGTTCGTTCTGTTCTACTTTACAGCTGCGAAACGTGGCCATTAAGAGTAGAACATACTCGTAAGCTACTACTATTTGATCACAGACGTCTTAGAAATATAGCTCGCATCTGCTGGGATCACCAGCTAAGTAATAGTGAGGTTAGATATAGGGTATTAGAGAATGATGGTAAATCAGTTGGTGAGGTTGTAAATCTTCATCGACTGAGATGGTTGGACCACATGAACACCGGTTACCACGACGCGCAATGCTGACTAGTGTTGAGGATGGTTGGAAGAATATTAGGGGTGGCCAAACCACAACGTGGTATCAGTCCAAGAAGTCACTAACTTGTGGTGTGAGCCATGTGGATGGTGGATGCAGACTACTTTGTTGGAGTCCGCGTGACTATCATAACCAATGGTTGGAGACTGTGTGTGTGACATGACTCAGAATCGATCACAATGGTGTAGGTGTATACACTCTCTGTCTTCCCTTAAACTATGAGACTAAAATTATTTTATATCTTTCTTTCTACGAACTGATTCTTTCTTCCTGTATTATATCTTTATACACAATCTTTCTTTTATATAGTACTACCATTGAAGTGACTACTTTTATGAGTTTGGTGTTCATCTTGTTGTGCTAATGAGGTGTTGCAACTTCCACTGATGCATATATGTGGTCGGTCCTACGTTATAACTGACTTAGAAGACTGGGTTTTAATGTATGAATGAGAAGCGTACTTACTGCACCGATGAATGTTGCTAAACTAGTGAACGTGAATCTTACATTTCTCTTTGATATCATACTACTAACTAAAATGGTTATATGCTCATGTGGCAGTTTAACATTTAGTTCACTCACTTCTAACTAATAAACCTTGGTTACAGTCAGCATGGTAACGCGATTCACTGATTAGAGTTGTTGAGTGGAATGTTTCACTATTGGTCACAGTAGTCCAAATGTTTTCATTCTGTATCTTCCTTTTTGAATGCCAGTAATTCTTCATTTCATATTTTCTATGTTTAATCTTTCTCGTTACCACTGTTACTACATTAGAAGTAGTTTCATTTCTAATTATCACTCAGCTTTTGTTATCAATAAATCTTTGTAACGGAGGGAGGGGGGCGGAGAACGGGTTGGTTAAGTAGTTAAAGTGTTGAGTTGTAAGTTCGAATCTTAATTTCTCTCTCTTTTTTTTTCTTACTCAGTTTGATCAAATGAAATTAGACTTTGACAATCAACTTGACAACTTATATAAATCTGGTGAACGTTGTTTTCATTTCATTTCAATTGATCTACTGCCAGTTGAAATTGTTCTATTATTTCATGGTTATACAGATACAGAAAATTCAATTTATTCCAATTCCATTTTATTAATAAGTTTATCAAAAAGATTTGATGTATTGTAAGTTATGTTACATGTCGTTTTTAAATATGATTGAATTGTTTCTAATTATTATTATTATAAGCGTCAAATAAACTTGAGTGTTGTTACTAGGTGGTGATAAATCATTTATTGATGTTGTGGATCCATCATCAAGTAAGATGACATTCAATGGTAGCTATTAGGTTAGAGGAAGATCGGGGGCAGTTAACCTAAAACAAGTCATCAGTTCGTGAAGTCACTGATATTTGATTTCATTTGTATTAATAAATATGCAAGATTCGTGGTTGGGATCCATTTAATTTTCAACTATTAACTTACTTATTTACGCTTGTTACTCCCAATGCAGCATAGGCTACCGACTAGCATTCTCCAACCCACTCTGTCATGCGCCTTCCTTTCTAGTTCTGTCCAACTGTTGTTCATTTTTCTCATGTCTATCTCCATTTCCCGGCGTAATGTGTTCTTTGGTCTCCCTCTTTTCCTTTGGCCTTGACGATTCCATGTGAGGGCTTGCCTTGTGACGCAGTTGGGTACTTTCCTCAATGTGTGTCCTATCCACTTCCAACACTTATTCCTCATTTCTTCCTCCGCTGGGATCTGGTTTGTTCTCTCCTACAATAGGTTGTTGTTGATAGTGTCTGGCCAACGGATCTGAAGTATTTCGCATAGACGACTGTTAGTAAACAATTGTATCTTCTGGATGATGGGTTTCGTAGTTCTCCAAGCCTCCGCCACATAAAGTAGAACTGTCTTGACATTTGAATTGAACACTATGACCTCGGTGTTGGTCGACAGACAGTTGTTTTGAGTTCCAGATATTCTTCAATTATAGATATGCTGCTCTTGCTTTGTCGATCCGTGCCTTCACATCTGCATCAAGTCCACCGTGTTCATCAATCATGCTGCTCAGATATGTAAAGGTTTTTACATCTTCCAAAGCTTCTCTGTCAAGTGTGATTCGATTGTTGCATGGTGTGTTGTATCGGAGAATCTTGCTTTTCCCTTTGTGTATGTTGAGACTTACTGATGCTGCTGTTGCTACATTGATCGTCTTCTCCTTCACTTGTTGCTGTGTGTGATAGAAAAGCCAGATCATCTGCGAAGTCTAGATCGTCTAGCTGCTTCCTAAATGTTCACTGTATCCCATGCTTCCCCTCAGATGTTGACGTCTTCATGATCCAGTCGATCACCAGGAGAAAGACAAAGGGTGAGAGTAAGCAACCTTGCTTGACACCCATCTTTACTTCGAACGAGTCTGTCAATTGTCCTCCATGCACGATTTTCCAGTTTGATCGACCATAAGAATTCCGTATGATATTTACTATTTTCTCAGGTACGCCGTAGTGTCGAAGGAGCTTTCATAGTGTTGTCCTGTCCACGCTATCAAATACTGTTTCGTAGTCAATGAAGTTGATGTAGAGTGATGAATTCCATTCAATTGATTGTTCCACAATGATCCATATTGTTGCGATTTGGTCTGTACACGATCGATCATTATGGAATACAGCCTGTTGGTCTCCAAGTTGGGCGTCTACGGAGTCCTTCATTCTGTTTAACAATACCCTGTTGAAGACTTTTCCTGGTATTGATAGAGGAGTGATGCCCCTGTAGTTATCACAGTTGCTGAGATCGCCTTTCTTTGGTATTTTGACCAGAAGTCCTTTCCAGTCTGTCGGTAATACTAACTACAATTATCTTAAGTTATATAACTTGAAATCATTTGCTATATTCATTTACTGTTATCTCATGTCTTTTATTCGTCTTTCTATCACATATGATATTACTGTTTTGACTCATTTAATTCGCATGGTCGGAGGCTCCAGGTGTGGCCACATAAGAAAACCACCTGTTTCGGTTTCGTCACCCTACGAATTCTTGCTCGAAATTCGAAAATATTTTGAAGTGAGAAATTGTAACTGGTTGACTTAAAATATATGTGACTGAAATGCTTATCGACAATGACATTCAATGATTGTCACACTACTTCACAAATTAATTGGAGTTTTCAGTTGTACCGTTGAATGTCAACTTAACGGTTGTAATGGTTAAGCATTCTTCATGAAACCTAAAGGTCCTAAATGCGACTCCGTGATGATGAGGTTATGAATGGGCATTACTGAGTAATCTAAAACTGGTGCTAAAGTATCCTAATTGAGATAAATCTGTGATCAATACAAACTACACAATAGATCAATTTCGATTAAACCCTTTTCAACTATACACTTGTTGTTGTTATTGTTTAATTATCTTTTTTTTCCATTCAAGTGAATCATTGAATTGTACAAAAAAATCAGAACATATTTTACCTGGTTGTCAAACAGCTGGTCAATTTGAACATCAAGTTAATCAGTTTTTACGTTCTTTATGGAATAAATACTTGGGTAATGAAGAGGTGGATGCATTAATTTCACGTTTAACTACCAATATTATTATATTTCATACATATGATGATGATGATGATATCCAATAGATGATAAAAACGATACCATTTTTACATAACAGATGTGTAATATCAAACTTACTTTGTATGAATAAGAACAATAAATAAAAATTCTTAACTTTGTATTTTCATTCATTTTTTGTTTGGGTTTATATTCATGTTGCTGTAACTTTGTAGTGTGTGGTACTCATATCGACAGATATAAGTAGTAGTATATGTTATATCCGAGCGAAGATTAAATCACGAGTAACTTCTGAGCCAAATTAACTGAATAATATTATCTATATATATTCTTATGGTATAACTACTCAGTAATTAGATTATGTATATCTATATTCCCCTTGTTATAAGCTTTATTTTGACCTATATATTATTATTGTACGATTTACGGTTCCTAAGTTATGTTCAGTTTATTGACTACTGCCTCCCATGTTCACAGCCACTTTTTGGCTTTATTGTGTATGAATGTTATTTCCTATTTTATGGTGAGTTGCGGTCTGTTTGACTGATATATAAACCCAGCATTTCTGAAATAAATGATTCGATTCGCATAGTGGAAACTGGTATTAGGATTCTGAACTTAAGTGGACGGACTAGAGGGACATAGGACCAATAAGGACGCTAGGCCCCAAATGCCCTGATACGGCCGAGAGTGGGGAGAGTCCATTCTCCCTCTCGAAATGCTCTCACATGGCCACGCGTATACACCCTCTGCCAGGGAAGTCCTACTCACTGCCTTCTCGCACCAAGGGTGTTGTTTACGAAATTGAGAGGACGAAAAGCGAATGTCAGGCGCTTTAATCGGATTCCAAACCGATGGTGCACATGGGCACCAGTATCCTGCGGGAACAAATGGCGTATGAACCAGTTGTTGGTCACCGGCTTCCATGGGACTGCATCTCCTTACGATGTTCACTGCCTTGTGGATGAGACCTTCAGGTCGAAGGCTCAGTGTGTGGCCCCCTAAGAAAACCACCTGCTTCGGTTTGGGCACCCGGGCAGTATCTCAGCCCTCACACATATCGAATGAGATTTGTGTGGCGCATATGTATTTGGTGCCCCCTTGTACCAATGTCTATGTGTTAAAATAAATAAAGGCTGCTCATACCGGTCGGACGTCATTGGTTTGGCACAGTGCTAAGATTGTATAAGTCGTATTTTGATTGGTGGATAAATCACGTGATAAAAAGCCGGACATAAATTCATAACAGTATGTATTCATCATCAATCGAAAGTGAAATGCCTGGAGGTGACAGAAAGTTAAGACGATCAAATAAAAGAGAATGAGAACAAAAAATGATTGATATGGAAACGAAAGAACAATGAAGTGTGAGACAATTGATTGACATTGTGCAAACGAAGTATTTACTGTATGGTGGTTCTCAGATTTTACTAAGATGTTCTATAATTTTGTGTCTATATACATTTGATTGTCCTCACTTGTGTTCTTGTTCACTATACCCTTTTCTATTAAAATAGAGTTGAAAGGCAGTAATCAAAATCAAAGTTTAACCCGTTAGGACCGAAGAATAAGGGTTCTGGGTTCGATCTCGGGTAGCTTTGCATTATTGAGGAATTCTACATTAGAAAAACAAAGATTTTCAAGGATTTCCACCCCCCAGTAGTTATCTCACTAAGATCAGTTGCATACAACCTAAAATTACCGATATAATCACAAATAAATATTTAGCATTCCATTGCAACAATTGAGAACAAGATCAATAAACATCTTCAGAAATTTTTGAAAGAGCTAATTGATCATTTAACTTACAATAATCTGAAGGCAAAAAGATCATGACTGCTTTTTAAAGTTCATAAATACAACTTTCTGTTAAGATCTATAATTTCTATGGTGAACTCATCATATAAGTTGGTTCAGTTGTAAGCCGAATTATTAAAACTAATTCTTAGAAAAACTCTCGGCAAATAGTTTTAAAGGCGCATTTCAGTTTTCAAAAAAGGAGCAATTGAATGTATCAGGTATATTTATAGTATCATTTGTTATGTGTTCATTATTTACTTGTGACATTATTTGAACTTAAGCAGCTTTTGTTTTATCAGCTACAAGAGGGGTATAGTCAAAACGTTCTTCAATAGAGCTAGGACGTTATCCTCAAAAGGCAAAATAAGTGAGGAACTGGCTATTCTGGAAAAACCGCTTCATAAAAGACGGATACTCGAATGGATTTATTACGAGATATGGAAAAAATATCCCAAAGATGGTGAATAACCAACTGTTGAAAAGAAATCTGTCTTCATCCGCCTTCTGTTCAAGAGGGATGAGGTTTCAAAAAGAGTCAAGACGGCAATGAAAAAAGCTTCCTTGCTGTTTAACTGGTTTCATTGTATTTATGAATTTACGTGTACCTATGATGCCAAGTAGTAGAGAGAAAAGTCTCTACTAAGTTTTCTGAACACATACCTAGGAACCTACAGTTGAACGAGAGTAAAGCCTTTAAAAGCGCAATTGTCAGACATTTTTTGGATGGTGGACATGAAATAAATGTAAGTGATGCATTCAGAATATCAATCTTACTCTATTTCGCAGAGGCAATTGCTATCAAACGTTCACAAACTGACCTATGTATACAGAAGGAAAGTTTCATCAGCTTTCCCTTGCCATGGTGATTAGATATTTGTCTAATAACCCTTGTTTAATTCTATTCATTTTTTCAACCCTGTCCCCAACATTTATTTTTCTTCCTCCTGCTCATATTCATCTCTTATATAACCTTTGTGATGTTCGCATGTTTATTTATTTTATCATTCTGGGCAATTACTCAACCAATTATTAGTTTCACTACCTTTACATAATCTGTGCATTATTACTTTCCAATATATAAATACATATCGATCCTGACTATGTTTATTCATACGTTTTTTATTTTAAATTCACTTGGTATTATTTACTCGAATCTTTCCATTGATATTTAGGACTGCGATTGATCAGTCTCTATTGGCATATGTGCATACTGTGCGTATTGCATCGATATTGTCTTAATTCACAAGCACTATAAGCAAAGATGGATAGTAGATAGCAGTGGAATTCAGGAAGCGCATTTTGTTTTAAACATCAATGGGAAGATTCAAGCAAACAATACGAAGTGAATTCTTTAACTTCACCCCATTGCACAAGCAAGTGGCTATCAGGATTGAGTGGATAGCTTGATGGCGTTCGAAGCGAACGATACTGGGTTTGAGTCGCAGAGTGAACACCAACTCGGAGATGCAGGTACATCCAGCTGACGAGTCCTAAATAGGACGAAACGCGCGTCTTGGATTCTTCTGCTACTTACTTACGCCTGTAACTCCTCGTGAAGGAGCATAGATCACTCACCAGTATTCTCCATCCAACAGTTGGACAGTGGCTAGCAGAGGAATAGACTCAGTGGTCTTTTCCTCTGCTAGCCACTGTCCAATTGTTTATTTTGCATAAAAATATCAGCTACTTATGAGTAGCCTAATTGCAATTGCGAAAAAAACGGACCACGTGACTGGATTTTATCTAGTGGTTGGAGTTAAGAAAACCACTACTGCGTTTCTTGATCGTTCTGTTCAATTTTTGTTTCAGAAAATATGATAAAAATATCAGTAAATACATAATATTGACTTTTATTGTTAACAACAATAGCAATAGTAACAATGAATCTTAAGAAAAAAAATGTCAACACAAAAATATGATAATGATAAGGCAAGTAAGTTGAATGATGCAAGTAGGGAAGGAGAAAAAAACAAACAAACGATTAACTAATTAATTAATTAATGATATCCATAGAAACTGGAAACCTGTTGTTTTCTAGCGAAAAAACAAACAAACAACGGTGACAATGCAGTGAAAAGACTTGAAACTCACACACAAGGGAGGGAGTGGGCAAGGACACAGGCTCTTCTGGACACACACACACACACAGTATGAGTGACAGAAAAACATGGCGCACAATAAGAAGGCAATAATGAAAAGTTATGTATATGATAGAATTGATCATTTACTGCCTCTTTTTTGGACATTGGACAAATAAATCTGTTGACTTGAAAAGAATATAAACAATAATGACAAGAAATAAACACACAGAAAGTAAAATTGTTTGCTGTTTTTAAAATGGATATTTCATGGAAACCAATACACGTTATTATTATTATTATTATGATTATTATCTAGAATAAAATGAATATACAAATAAATCTTATACATTGATTAATTAGATTGAAAGAAACAACACTGTAAATTATTACATCTGATACCGGTGTATAAGAGCAGCCTGGCAACAGGATTATTATTTATATGAACGATAATTCCATATATATATAATCAAAGAAACTATTCTTGTTCATTTATTCATTGCATAATCAACAATATTGTTTCTTCTTTTATAAAGAAAAGTTAAAATATACAAATGATCATTGGAGTATATTGCCATGTCAACATACAGACTATCTGTAATGTAATAAGTGTTTAATGAATCTAATAATGATTAGGATAAGACAAATGATATAGAATAAGTAAAATTTCAATAAAACTTATCTATTTACGGTTTCTGGTCAATATTCAAAAAAAAAGAGAAGAATCTATGAAACAAACATTTTTAAACCGGTTATTCACTGATCAGTATATCTGTATATGATGATTAGGTGGCACATATCGTCGTCGTTGTCATTCACTGTCGTATGCATAAGTCATTGAATATTATTCTGTTTAGAAAAAAAGGATATAACCTATACACAACATACATTTGTTTAAACTGATACCAAAAAGCGGGAATAAAAATTTAAAAAAAAGAAAAGTTATTACATAAATAAATACAAAAACGAAACCAAAGTGCTTAAGGGTTCACATACGTGCTCGCGCACACACACACACACGTACAATAGTCAAGCAAAGTAGTTAAAAGATTATTATTATTATTTCATCTTCTAAAAACAAAATAGGCGCTTTTTGTTTCTTATTTGAATATCTGTTTAAAACGAGACAAAAAAATCTAAGGAATATTAGTTATTTCCCTTAACAACAACTGTAACGACAACAAAAGAAA